TGCCAATTCAAGTCACAGTCTACTTTGCCAAGCTGTCATCTTTTTATGTCCGAATATTGTCTTTCCAGCAAGTCTGTGAACATTGGGAAAATCATAGTGGCTACTAACAAATAAGTACCTGTTGTATGCTAGGCACTGTGTTGGGCACTTGTGGAAGCCAGTTTCTAAATGGCTCCCAATGATCCACACATCCTGGTATCCATCCATACCCTTTTGTGTTCTCCCACATTTTACCAGGGTTAGTCTGTGTGACCAATAGAATACGGCAAAAGTTATGGTATATCACTTCCAAGATTAGATTATAAACGAATGTGGCTTCCATCTGGGTAGTACACGTTCTCCTTATTGGAACATTCATTCTGGGGGAAGTTAGGCACCATGTCATGAGCAGCCTTATGGAGAGGCTTGCATAGAAAGAAACTGGAACCTTTGACCAATTGCCAGCAAAGAATGGAAGCCTGACAACAACCAGAGCTGAGCTTGGAAGTGGCTCCTTCTGCCCCAGTTGAGCCGTCTTATGGCTACAGCCCTAGCTGATCCTTGACTGCAACCTCCTGAGAAATTCTGAGCCAGAATTTCCTAGTTAATCCACTTCTGAGTTCTTGAAGCTTGGAAATTGTGAGATAATAAATATTTGTTGTTTCAGGTTGCTAATTTGTTACTCAGCCATAGTTAACTACTATAGTGCCGCATTATCACATTACATCCTCACAACCCTGAAAGGTGGGGTTTGTCACTCACATTTTTCAGATGAGAAAACCAAGGCTGGGATTTCCCACATCTGGAAAGAGGCTGAGCTGGGATTTGCCCTATGTCTTTTGGATTCCAAAGCAGAGGGTACCTGGTAATGTTTTCTCAGCTGGAATGTCTCCAGCTCCAGGGTGAAGGTTGAAGACAGGAGGAGGTAATCTCTTCCTCTGACATGTTTTCTCGCTCTCTCTCTTTTTTTTTTTCATTCCAGTAACTTTAGTTAGTAGCCATGCATCTATTGTGTATATGTGATTCAGGGACAAGTAGATTTATTAGAAAAAGCATTGGAATTTTAAGAAGGGAGTACCTGGGCTCTAGAGTGATTTTGGACAAGTTCCTGCAGTTTTGTAGGTCTCAATTTCTTTATCCAATATGTGGGGATAATAATCGCAATTCCACATTTCTCACTAGGAAACCATGAGCATCAAGCATGAAGGGACTTTGTAATACGTAAAGTGTTGTGATCCTGGAAAGGTTCGCTTTGAGTAAAAAGCACCCCCGGCCCAGGGCTCTCATGGTCTGCAGCTCCATACAGCCACCTCTATACAAGTGGCCAGTATTCCCTCTCCTTTCCCACCTGAGAGAAATTGGGGGCCCCAACCCACTTCTTCAACCTCATTCCTCACCATGACCTCTCTCTTAGGCCACACTGCAGCTGTACTGAACTAGTGGAAATATTGCAAGCCCGCCAGGAAGTTTCTGTATGCTGAGCCTTTATCTGTGCAGTTTCTTCTTCCTGGACACTGTTCCCAACTTCTCCACATGGTGTGTTCCTACTCATCTTTCAAGACTCAGCTTAGATGTCCCCACTTCTAGGATGCCTCTCCTGACCTGGTTCAGAGCCTCCTACTTCTCCTCTTGATTAGCGCGCCAGTCTCCTGCCTGAGTGCTTGGCCTCCAGCTTCTCTTTTCCACTCAAAGCTCCCAGGGTACAGCCAATGGCCTTTCTTAAACAAATCTTGTCATGTCACTCTTTGCTTAAAATAACCAGCCAGTGGGATAATCCATCAATCAATGCTTTAAGAGCGCCTCTTTGCCCTCGAGAAGACATCCAGAGCTTTCAGCTGGAACTCAAGGCTTGGGCCCTGCTGGTGTCTCCAGCTTCACCTCTCCTCTCTTCTGATTACCTTGCATGCGCCGTACACCCCAGCTACGTTGCTCTTGTTTCATGTCTCAGACACGCCTCGCTCTCTCGTGCCTTCCTTTCTGCTCACCCTGTTGTTTTCTATGCCTATTCCCATCTTCTCCACTTGGGGACTTTCTGCCTAATTTTGAAGGCCAGCTCTGATTTAACCTCTTCTGGGAAGTCTTCCCTGGTGGCCCTGGGAAGAGTCTGTGGCTTCCTTTTCTTTCCTTTTTCTCCTATATGACTACTCATGTTTTCGTTACTGTTTGTCAGCTTGCCTACTTATGCTGGGAGTTTCCTGTATTTGATGCATGGCTGTGTCCCCAGCAGGATCAGCATAGTTGCTTGGAACAGCCATGTAGGATGTTAGTTGGTTGAATGAATGAATGAATGAATGGTGAATGGTTATATCCTGGAATCACTACTTCTTGGCTAGCCCCAGAACTGCTGTTTTCCAGGGTAAGGTTTGTCAGCTTGCCTACTTATGCTGGGAGTTTCCTGTATTTGATGCATGGCTGTGTCCCCAGCAGGATCAGCATAGTTGCTTGGAACAGCCATGTAGGATGTTAGTTGGTTGAATGAATGAATGAATGAATGGTGAATGGTTATATCCTGGAATCACTACTTCTTGGCTAGCCCCAGAACTGCTGTTTTCCAGGACTGCTGTTTCCCACTCTATAGGAAAAGGGGGAAACAGAAGGAAGGGACCGCTCTGGAAGAGAGAAAGAAAATCAATAAAAATGTAAATCTGGTTGAGATAAGCTGTCCCAGGTTGGCTGTGGGGAGAGATAAGACTGGGATGGCTGAGCCCTGGCTGACAGTGGAAGAGAGATAAGGGGACAAGTAGAGCTGTAGCCAGGGCAGGGCAAAGGGAGTGTGTCTCCCTTCAGTGGAGCCTCCTCATTCTGTCTTCTCTGCCTTCCCTCCCCACCACCCATGCTCTATGCACTCCTTAAATTCTTTCAGGGACCAGGGAAGGAGAAGGAAACTTATAAATACTGATCATCAGGTGCACTGCCTGTGAGCAAGTATGTCATCATTATTTGGTCTTCACTTTTGGGAGACAGGAGATAGGAATGATCAACCTCATTTCCCAGGTGAAGAAACTGAGATGCAAAAAAGTTAAATCATTTGTTCAGGGTCACACCATGAGTGAGTAAGTGGCACAGTCAAGATGTGAACTCAAATCTGACTGATTCTATAACTCTGTTCTTTTTACTTCACTCCATTGGAGGTATAGAGCCAGGCTTCAGATGGCCCCAGCCTCTGAAATCAGAAGCACAACTCTGTATATATTTGTGTGCATTTTTTAGGGAGAGTCTGTATCTTTTATTAGATTCCCTAAGGTGTTGTCACCCACCCTCCTTTGCCTTTACCATGTTGTTTCCCTGGAGGTGATGGCCTTTGAGCTGGGCCTGAAAGATTGCGCAGGACTTCATGAAGTAGGATGTAGTGGGGTGGGGATGAAGAAGGCCAGCTAGGTAGAGAAGATTGCACATAGGGGCATGTTAGGTGGAAAGAATTCAACATGTCCAAAGAATGCTAAGGGTACCATGGGTTCTTGCTCCTCATTTGTTTGTGCTCCAATCATGGCTCCTGGCTCCCAGCTCCTATGGAGCACCTGCCTGTCCTGCAACTTCCCAGCATGGGTTTGCACTGGCCAAAGGAACTCCAGGTCAGGTGTCAGGATGTTCATTCTGGTTCCAGTCTAGTCCTCTGCTGGATTTTATCACCAGTAGAATCTTGCAGGGAGACTTCATATCTTCTCCTCCCAGTTGCCAGGCACAGGGTGAGAAGAAAGTGAGCTCACAGATGCAATTGTTCATGGCCTCTTGTTGGCCAGAGGCCATATTAGGGAAGAGGGCTACTCCCTGGACCCCTTGTCCCTGGGTACCCCTTCAGGCATACCTACTCCAACCCTGGATCTTGGCCCCATGTCCCTCTTGTGATGACTCCTGGAGTCTCCTTGCCCTGACCAGCCTGAGAGGTTTTAAGCACAAGGAATTCATCTTCTCCTTCAAATCTTAGCTCAATCCAGAGGTGAGTTCAGCTGGAAACTAATGCTGCTTGAGCATTAGGGCCTCTCCCTAGGCCCAGGGAGGGGCCTCTACAATATGTTCATGTCATGTCTTTGGGAAATTTGCAAAGGTACAACACTTCAACTACAATCAGTTAAGCTTGCTAGTTCTTTCCACTCCAACTTGCCTTGTGTCCCAGCTTCCCCTTATGTGACGTGGTTGGAGGGGCCATGGGTATTTCTAGGATCTGGCTAAGTGGGAGTTGAGTTGGGGATCAATTTAATTCGGGTTCATTGGGATATATCTCTGTGGTTCTCAGTCACCTCTGCATGTAGATAAATCACTGCTAGCTGCCTCTATGTAGAGAATGGTTTCTAGGAATCTTCCTAACCATTGTCCAACTCATTCAGCACTGTGGCATCAAGGTGTCGTATCTAGAGGTCATTTCATGACATGGATGTGTTTTATGTGGGCAGGAGGAGACATGGAGAAACAGGTTTGAAATGTACAGAACCAGAAGCTAGTCTGTGGGAAATCCTTCTGATTGTCAGGGAAAAAATATATTTTAGAGATGTCCACAACAGTTAATGAAAAACACTGTGCTATTTTTCTAAATTGTGTGGTGTAGTTGTTTTGACTTCTTTTCTCATTCTAGGTAAACAGTCACGTTCTTACCTCATGACTATTGTATAAGTTTCAATTTCCACAAAATCTGGATCTAACTCTGGTGCAACCATTTATTTACTGTGTGATCTTGGGCAAGATCTTGATCTCAGAACTGTTTTGTCTTCGGTAAAATGTAAATGACAATTTGGACAGGTTAGGACTCAAATGAGGACTCAAAAAGCCTCATGCCCTTATTCCATTTCTGAGACCATTACTAGAGGAAGTAGCCCAGCCAAATGAAAATTGGACCAGAATATACAGATAGGGGAAGATGTAATATACAAGAAAAAATGGTGAGCAATGAATCCAGTAAAACTTAAATATAAGTAATTGGGAATAATGTAGCTGTTGCAAACTCTAATGTAGTTTGTAAGAAAAGATTTTTGTAATAGAAGAGACACTATGCAAGAACAAATTTAATAATAAACTGTATCTATAACTCCAGATTATTTCTGCAAAACCTGGCAAATAGGAGGGAAGGAGAAGTAATATAAACATATGAACAACATCATATTGGAGACTTTGAAATTCTTGGCATTGATAAATATAGGCTCAGATACTCGTTAAACATTTAAAGGTATCAACAAATAGTAGAATAAAATGGGACTTAGAATTTCTGTATTCCCCCTTCTTTTACATGAAATAGCCCCAAAGCCTGATGCTGGATGCTGCTCAGAGGGCTACAGCCATATGTGTAAACTGCCCCCTCGCCCCAGCTTCTCCCCAGCCCCCAGCACAGAGTTGGACACAAGGCTTGGGAAGTTGATGCTGATGCCTCTCTGTCTCCTGCCTCTGGAGGAGCAAGCACCAAGCATTTTCTGCAGACCTACTCATTACACAGAATGGGGCATTACCGCTCTCAGCATTCCGAGCCTGGGCAGTACAAAGAGGAAGTCCTTACACCAGTCCAGGCATCACAGAGAACCAGATGTTACCCCCAAAACTTGGATGTCACAAAACCAGACATTATCTACATAGCCCTAGGTGACACAAATTCAAGCACCCAGAAGGAAATGGTGAAATTAGGATTCTAATTACAAAAGTCACAGTGACTTGGGTGGGGGCCCTCGTCAAATGTGTGAAACTTTGGTGCATAGGTATCAGCGAGTGTGTGCTGGGTGTATTTGGTCTTTGAAGTTGGAAAATGCCCAGGTAAGGGGTCTGTGTCTCCTTCTCCACTGGAGCACCTCAGAAAGACTAGACCTCACCTAGACTGTGGCTCTCTGAGGGTAAGGGCTTGGACTTCCTGAGTCCAGAGAGTGAATCTCCCCTCTCAGCTAAGACCCACTGGGGCCCTCATACCAGGTTTCCTGAAGGCCCTTCCCTGGCCTGGATGTCCTGAGTGTAAGGCAACCTCCCTCCCAGGTTAGTCTCCTCTCTGAGCTCAGAGCTCTGCCTCCAGGGGGCGCCAAATGGACACTTCTTGAGAGAGGCTGTCCTGGCCCCACCTCCAGGCTGAGTAGGGCTGGAGAGAAGACCTGAATCCATCCAGACCATACAGATGGTCACAGCTGGAAGGGGCCTGAAAGCTGGTAAGTCAATTTCCACCTGACAGAGATGTTGGCTAACGCTCAGAAAGGGTAATCTGGGTGAGCTGCCGAGCAAGGCTAGGACCTGGTGTGCTGTGCAGCCTGACCTACTATTTCCACTTCTCTACTCTAGGGCCTGCGGGAAAGATATGCAGTCCCTCCACCCAGAAAAGCCTAGTTTTAGGGCAGTCTGTCCAGCTTAGGGAGAAAGTGGGAAGACTCTTTCGCTTCAGAAGTGGCCAACACAGCAAACCCCCAAGTGACTCCTTGGTTCAGGTAAGCAAACAAAGACCCAAAGAGAGTCAGTAACTTGCCTGAAGTCACATAGCAAGTTAGTGGAGGAGTCAGAATTAGAAAACAAGGCTCCTGACAACCAAAGGGCCTAGAGGAGGTACTTGCCACAGCTGCCACTCTTGGCCAGGGTAGGGCCCTGTGACAGCTCACACTGTGGATTCTTCAGGCTTCTTCTCTGGCCCCGATGCTAACAACTGCTGCTGTAGGCCAGAGCAGGTCACCTTGGTTCCCTCTTCTTTGTCCTGCTGCCTTAGGATAGCCAAAACCAAGGCAAAGCAGGCCAGGGAGCCTGTCTTGAAGAAGAACTGGAGGCCAACAAACCTGGGAAAGAGCAAAGGATTCTTGAGTTTAGGACTTCTCTGTTGAGGGCTTGGATATCCTCGCGCTAGGGCAAAATAGAGTCAGCAATTATCACCCATTATGCAGTTGGACACATAGAGGCCTTGGGGGAGGAGAGGCTACTAGCCCCAGGGCAGTGGACTCAGTCACCATAGCCTTGGGTGGGGAGATGAGGGAGCCCCTGAAGTTGACCCCTGTGGGGGCCCTTCCCTGAAAGAGGGGGACAAGCTCTACAGGAGGAGCTCTGGGTTGGGGGCAGAAGGCCGGCAACCTCCCCACCCTGTCCTTGACTGCCTTGCGGCCTGGGCCAGCCAGCCCTACTTCTGTCTAGGTTTCCCTAAGGGCTCCAGGGGCCTGACATTCACAACTTTGGATTGTCCCACCCACCAAAAGGAAAAGAAGACTCCCTCTTCCCGTTTATCTAACTCACCAAGTCTCTCCTTTGACTTTTCCTCCCCTAGGAAGTCCCTGGACAGTCCGAGCGCACAGAAACCATGCCCCCCTCACAGCTGGAAGTGATCAGCTCCATGCTCCCAACCTTGCTAGCTAGTCCCCCCTCTAACCCTCCACCCATCCCAGGGCCAGCAGCCTCTCTGCCTGCAGGTTTCTTTGGGCTTCCCATTGCACAGATGGGAAGATTGAGCCCTGAAAAGGCAGGTCTCACAATGAGGGAGACAGAGCTGGGCCTGGATCCCAGGCCTCTAGTGTTCTAGATAGGGCCTTCTTCCTCCCCCACCCCAATTGCCCATCTCTCTCACAGCAAGAATCCTCCCCTGATTCTCCCTACACTCAGCCACAAGTTCCTGCAGACTATGGTCAGACAGTTTGTGTTCAAGGCCCAGCTTTGCCAGTTATCTGCTGTGTCCTTGGGCTACTTACTTTAACTCTCACCTTTCTCATCCATAAAGAGGGAGATAGTGTCAGCTCACAGGACTGGTGAGCTCAGCACTGGACATAGCACCTGTCACTTAGTAGGTGGATGTATTTACTGGTGTTCTGCCTGGGACCCCTTGAGGACCCTTCCCACAGCCCCCTGGCAGCCCCCACCCCAGGTCTCACCGGTTTCGGAGCAGGTCGTGGTCATAGTAGCGGCAGACAGCCCGACGCCCACAGGTCTGGGCCCAGTGCACACAGGTAGTGTCAATGGCGCTGCCATGGATCACAGGACTGGGCATCCAGGCTGGAGAAAGAGGTGCTCAGAGGACAACAGGCCTGACATTCCTGTACCTCCCCACCCCCTTACCTTACTCCTTGACGTACAAAGCCCTTCAGGGGCTCTGAGCCACTGGGGGCCTCTCAGCCCATAAGTTTTTGTCCCTCAAGCCTACCCATGACCCTGGCATCAGAAGCTTCTTCCCTGATGGGCTGTCTAGCTGCTTGCACACCCACCTCCAGGTACCTGGGTTGGATCTGTTGCCCCATGGGCCTGTGAACCCCAAGGTCAGGGACTGGGTCTCATTCATCCCTGTGCCGCCCCCCCTCCCCGCCAGGCCTGGCACACAGTGGATATCTGGACCAATGGTCCCAAGCAGGTTCTTTACCCAAAACTCTCAGGAGCATGAACTGGATCCCCACAGCAAAAGTCTTGTCTTCTTTTTTCACTCCCCTAGCAAGCAGGGACATAGGTGACATGAGAATCAAGAGGGTTCCAGCCCTCAAGGGGTTCTCACCATCCCCTTCTTTCCCACCACCCAGCACCAGCCTTCCCCCATCTGAAGGTCCTTGGGTAGTGGGGTGGGGTGTTCAGGCTACACACCATTTCTCTTCAACCTGCAGAGCCTGGTCTCCACGTACCAGGCATACTCACTGACCACCAGGGCCCTGTGCTGATCTCCCTGTGTTCCTGGTCACAGAGGCCTCCCCTCTCTCCCCGCATCCTGGCCCCATCAAATTCTCCCCTTCTTCCTACACTTGACAAAACCTGGAGCTGGGCAGCCAGACATGCCTTCTAACTTCCCTAGCCACTGTAATGCCACAGCCTGGGATGTCCTGGCAATCACTGGCTCCTTTCCTAAGAAATACCAGTGGCTGGCATTTATGGAGTGCTGACTGCGGGCTCAGTCATTCTCTACTGCAACCAGTACCTCACTCCAATGAGGTAGGTGTATCATTAGCCTCATTTTACTGATAAAGAGACTGACGGATGCTTGGACAGTTTTCATGACTTGGCCAAGATCCCACTGTTGATGGGTGTCAAGGATCAGAATTTGTTCAGCACACTGCCTGCCTTAACTCCTCTTAAGCATGCTGCCTGCTTGGGCATCTGATTTCTCTACTTTCTCTCTTGTGGTCAGCTTATTTTATGGATCTATGTGTGTTCTGACATTTGTAAGGGGCTCCATCACCCTTCTAATTTTCTAGAAGACAGATAGGGAATAAAATAATCCCAGCCTAATGAAAAACTGGAATTATCCTTCTCGGAGGTACCCTTATTCCAGCCCCCACCCAGGAGATGCTGACTTTGGCTTCAGGTGACAATTTGTCAGTACCAGCAGGCCCACCAGGACAATGGCCAGAAAGATGCTAGACCAAGAATCAATGCTTAGTATGGGCTGGGGTCACAGTGAGCACCTAGTAAGTGCTCGTTGACTTGAAATGGCATTCCGAATCACGGACCACACTGATAGGGTTTGATTTTCTGATGCAGTTCCTATGGCCAGCCCATGACAGATAGGGTAGGGGCGGGGAGTCAAGTGACACTCCTCCACTTCCTTCTCCCACTGACTGGGAGGCCAGGACATAGCCTTAGGTGTGACCTCCCTTCCCCTGGGGCAAGTAGGGGCCTGGGCTCTGGGCCCTGACAACAGTACTCTCCACTTGCTACCTAACACTTGCTACAGGACTTGGGGCTAGCTCCTAAATTGCTCTGAGCCTCAGTTTTCTTAAGATGCGAAACCATCTCATCAGATTGTCATGAGGATGAAGACAGGACAGCGGGAGGTTGATCTGTTGTGGGGGCCCAAGACACCTGAGTGGCCTCTTTCTTCAAACTCCTCCCTCAGAATTCCTTGTCCTGCCTGTGGTTAAGGACCTTTTGGTATCTACCAGGTCTGGCCCACCGCCCCTGCTTTCACCTTAGGATGAGCATGAAGGAGGGTGTGTGAGTGACACAGGCCATGACCACACCCAGGCAGACCAGGAACATGAAGGGCAGCACCAGGTGGCTGCAGGCTGAGTCACAGGAGCCTGCCTGCACAGGGCCGCCCCCTGCCACGCAGCTGCAGTTGGTGTAGAAAACCTGGCGGGATGAGGAGAGAAGAACCTTCAGGAACCTCCAGGGGCCAGCAGCTGGCCAAGGACCTAAGGCTCAGAGGCTTGTGGGAGACCCAAACCAGCCGAGGCTGGGATTTCTGACCACTTGGCTGAGTCGGGATGGCTTGAGCAGCCAGGCAGGTTCTTAGATACAGGCTGTCTGCATGCAAATGGGCTGAGCCTGGGCTGAGGTTGTAGAGAGAGAGGGAAGTGGAGAGGAGAAAAGGGAGAGGGACCTAGGAGAGCATAGCTCCCCAACATACCACACACACACACACACGCATACACATACTCACCCACAGATACACATTCAGACGTACACGCTCACACACATACACTCACACACACGTACCACACACATATATTCACATATATAGCAGACACACACACATACCGCAGACACACATACACACTCGTATATACACATACATTCTCATATCACACACATACACTCACAGATACACACATATGCACATACCACAAACACACACACACACTCACATGCACCACATACACTCACACTTATTCTTTCACCTGGTCATGTCAGAATGTTCCAAATTCCTGACCGTATGTGCAAGGAATCGAAGCAACAGTGAGTGTTTTCTGGGAAGAAGAAACTCAGATTTTTCAGCTAAGTGTCCCCTACACCTCCACTTTACTGAGGCCCTCCAGGACAATGAGTTCTAGAGTGGAATCTCAAGGTGAGATTTAGGAGAGATGCAGACAGTACCGTGGGAGACCTGGCTCGGTAAGGGGAAAGGAAGGCTTTACCAAAGAGGAGTGCCGGATTGGGGTTTTGAGGAATGAATAAGAGTTTGCCAAGAGGAAAATTAGAATGAGTAGAGGGAGTGTCAAGTGTAAAATCACAGTGGCTGAGAGAGCCCAGCAAATCTTTCCTTCTGCCGGGAGCAGAGTGCATGCCCCAGAGGGCAGAAGGGAGGTGCTCAAAGCTCCTGCTGGGGTGACACCGTGAAGAGCCTAGGGCATAAAAGGAACCTGGACTGCTGTTTCCAGAGACACAGTGGACCAGGTGCCCTGCCAATCCTCCTGTTGATGACAAGTTAGAGTGCCAGATAAAGTATCGAACACACTACCCTGAATATATCCACGAGCGGGCAGAAGGTAAAAAATACTCAGGTTTGGCACTGAGGCCAGAACCCAGAGAGGTGAGCAGTCTCACAATAAAATTTAGCCCCAAGGCATTCGTAGAACCTGCTACAATGGAGTATAGCTTTCTGAGGTTTCAGGGTGGGGAGCTGCAGGGCCAGATGATGGGTCCCAGCCCTCCCTCCTGCCAGGGTGAAAAGTCTAATAAGAGACTTCTAGAAAACTGGGACCCCTCCAAAGACTAAAGTATGGGTAAAAGTTGACCCCTTTCCAAACTGCAAGGAAAGGTCTCCAGGCTAGCCAATGGTGTGTTTAATTGCAGACTACATTTCTCACCCTCTAGGTGGCCTGAAAAAAACCTCTAGCCAAAGATTCTTTCAGAACTGATCTGGGCTAGAGTGCCCTCAGGCACTGACACGGGCAAAGCCAAGCCAGGAAGCCCAGACTTTTCTTCCTCAATGATTAGTTTTCTGACCAGTGGGCCCCAGGGACCCTTGGGCCTCAGATGGGAAACGGGTATGCAGGGATTGGTTTCAATGTGGTCTGGCTGGTCCAGAGCAGTCAGAACCCTCTGGGCCTCTCACTTCCACCCCTAGCAGCTTCAGACACTTCATAATGTGAAAAGTGTTGGAAGCCCTGAGGTGGATGCTGGGAGCCTTGGAAAGATTTTAAACATGGGAGAACAAAGACCTGACTACAAGAGCTGGTCTTGTCACTACAAGAAGAGGGTGATGGAGAAAATTGTTTTGATTTGAGAGATGTTTAGGAAATTGAATTAGGACAAGAAGAGAGAGAGAGAGGGAGGGAGGGGGAGAGAGAGGGGTCAAACAGAAGACATGTGCGTGATTGAAGGCCCTGTCGGGACGGCAGCTGTGGCGGTCAATGCACGAGGTGGAAGATAGGCCATTTGTTGGAGAGGGAGAGGGAGAGGGAGAGGGAGAGGGAGCGCGCACCTAAGATTCAGGCTTGGGTAAGTGGGTGTTCTTTTCTGCTTTCTATTGCCCCGCAGAGCTCCTATGCATGACAAGGCTGTGCTGCCACATCTCTGTGACCTCTGGAGCACGCACCATTTGGACCTTCACCTACAGGCCGAGCAGTCCACTGGGATGGAGATACAATGGAGGGCTGGGTAATGGGAGAAATACACCAGGGCAAGGTTACTAGAAGAGAAATACCCTGTCCAATTCCTTTTCCGAGAGTCTGGAATGGATGCAAAAGCTAGATGCCTTTCTCTTGGGGGGTTTTCCAGCCCTTCATTCACATTCATCTAATTCCATGACAGAAAGTTCTTATGAATGACTTCAGCCTCTCTAACTGCCTCTGATTCTCACTCCTTGGAGGAATTCAGCCCTACCCCATGAGCCCTCGATCCCACCAGCCTCTCACCTCTCCCCATCTTTCACCTGGTTATTCACTCATTCATAAATGGTTACTGAGCGCAGCTGTGCCTGACACTGACCCATCAGCCCTTGGCCCAGGAGCTCATAGTCGGCTAGAGGAGGGAGGCTCACCAAGAGACAATTCCAGGCCAGAGTGACAGTTCCTGAGTGCTTACCAGGGCTCAGTTGCATCCTCCTCCAGGTACTATACCAAAACACAACCTCTGAGGATGCTGCAGACAGGGGGCTGGACTGAGAGGCCATAGCCCTGGGTTCTAGTCCCGACTCTGGCATTAAGACTTTGGGCAATGCCTGGCCTTTTCCTGGGTCTCTATTTCCCATCCGCTTAATGGGCATAAATAAGAATATGTATTACTGAGTGCTTAAAATTTCCCAGGCCCTGTGCTAAGTGCTTTTTATGGAATAAGTCTTCATTTACTATTTAATGAATTCATCTGAGGAAAGCATTTAGCACAGCATCTGGTATATAGTAGATACTTATTCCAATTACCTCCATTTTACAGACCAAGGAACGGAGGCACAGATCAACTAATTTGCCTAAGGTAACAGTCAGTTAGAGGCAGAATAGGGATTTGAACCAGGTGGCATGGCCTCTGTGCTCAGGGGCCTATATCTACAGGAGTTCACTGTCCCCTAGGGGACCTTGCTCCAGCTTCTAGGGCCTGCCACCTTCTGGAATGGTCTCAGAAAGATCAAACCAGGTCAGGACAGTGAGCCCTAGGAGGCCCAAAAGGCTGGGATTGAGATTATCCCAAATACAGTTTACACAGCCCAGGTAGCACCTGGCTGGCTTCGGAAGTAACATCAACCAGGTGCTTTACTCTGTACCAGCTATACCAACGCTTGGGTCCAGGTCTCTCCCTGCAGGAGCTGCAGGCTTAGATGCGAATGCCCAGCAGGACACCATGGCCGGTGGGGGACAGTGGAGAGAGGGAGATGTTGTCATAACAACCAGCTTGATACTGCCCTCCCACGCGCATGCTTTACTACATACAACCCAGGGGCTGGATATTGTTCCCATTTGTCATTCGAAGGGACTAAGGAGAAAAGGGAGGAGGAGCCAGCTGGTCTCGGTGGCCATTCTAAGATTTACACAGAATGCACTATTGCTGGTGACACTTTCTAGCCCTGTGTGCCCCCTTTCTAGCCTCGAGGTCAGGGTCCCTGGGCTCTGGGTCCTCGTTGCACAGCCCATTGCCACCTGGTTCAAATCTCCCCACCTCCTCGCTACACTCTGCTCACCTTCCTCCACATCATGGCCTCATGGCCTCAATGTGATCAAACAGAGGTCTGACCCTGTCTCTCCCCTGCTTAAAACCCACCCAAGGCTCCCCATTGCTCTCTAAATAAAGTCCTCACTTGTAGTCTGGCATTCAAGGCCCTTCTTGGTCTGGGCCTTGTTTTCCTTCCATGAACCCTATGCTTCTGCTCCAACAAGTTCTTCAAAGTTTCATAGAATACTATTTGTGTGTGTGTGTGTGTGTGTGTGTGTGTGTGTGCGCGCGCATCATGTGTATGTACTTGTTTCCGGACTCTGCTTCTACTGTTCTCCCTGCCTGGAAAGCCCTTCCCTAGTTTGCTTACTCACCCTTGAAGATCCAGCACAAATGCCATGTCCTGTGAAGCCCCTGGAACCCCCCTACCCCCTGGCCAAAGTAGGATGTATCTCCTTCCGTCCTTGTATTTGTGGAGACCACTTTTGCCTAGCAGCACCCCTGGAATTCTTGAGTTATTCCCTTTTACCTCTCCCTTGCATGAAAAGTTGGGGTCAGATCTGGTTCACCTCTATGCCCTAGGCCCTGCCACATGGCTGGGCCCAGGCTGGTAATGAGAGCTTATTGAGAGAATAACATTCTCCATCTGCCAACCAACGGAGACAGACAGACAGATGACCCATAGAGTGAGGACATTCAGAGATGGAGAGTGTGACAGGTATACAGAGACAGGGAATGGCAGAGCCCATGAGATGCAGAAGGAACAGCCAGAGGCCTGACCTACCTGGCTTTTGTCCAGAGCCTCCTGGACCACCCGGTTTGTGCAGCCTGCATGGCAGGGTGTGAGGTACTCCACGTGGGTGCTGGGGTCGCAGACAGGGTTAAAGTCGTCCGATGGGCAGGAGCAGGGCTCCATGCAGCCTGGAAAGAGCTCCAGCCCACGGCGGGTGCTGGTAGGAAAGAAGGCCAGAAGGGTTGATCTCAGGCCACAAGCTGAAGCCACCTGTCCTCAGCCCGGCTCCCCACCCTAGAGAGCAATGGCCAGAGATTTCCAGTTCACACAGGTTTTTCACTGGCTGCTCCCTGACAGGTGGTGGTGAGCTCCTTGCAATAAAGGTGTGTGGGCAGGGAAAGGGCTGGAAGTTTCAAGAGGCCTCCCGATGGGAGAAGTGGGGAGGAGAGTCTGGACCAGAGGCCTCTGAGACCTCTTCCCGCTCCAGGAGCCTATGAGTCTTTGAGCCGCTTCTGTGAACATCTCCATTTCTCAGTGACCCTTTTTTAGGGAACATAAGAAATATTCCTCCCAGAATCTAGTCTCAGATAAAAAGTGCCTTTTTCTCGATGTAGCTGGATTGCTTCCTTTTCTTAGAATATTTGAGCTATGCGTGTGGAACTCAGGATACCTGACCAACTATGAGGTCTCTGACCTGTTCCTGCCTCTGTCTGGGCCTCAGTCTGTCTGTCACCTCAGCTGGGGATATCCCTCCCCATCACTGCCCTGCAGTCTCATGACCTCTAGCTTACTCTTACTACCCTGTTTACTGAATCTAGGGCCTTTTTTTTGTCCCACTCGCCTCCCTCCTGAGAGCCTGCCTGTTCCCCACCCCCAAGTCCCAGAAGAGCTCCAACTCTAACTGGCTGGGCAAGATGGAGTGGATGAGGCAAGAGGTCAGAAGAGAGGCTGAGTCCATGGGACAGGTCACCCTGGAAGAGGGGCAGAGGTGGACCCTAGGACTTAGAGTATGACCTGGCTTCACAGCGAGGAGGGATAAAATGTGTTAGGAAGCCAGTGGCCCAGCTGCAGTAAAGGAGGTCAGAGGCAGAAGCTGGAGGTCCTGCAGGCTTGGAGTGGGTACGGGCAGAGGCCCACGAAGAGTGGCAGACCTTGAGTGAAATCTCAGTTCCTTGGGGAGGAGAGTTAGCATGGGGCTGGGGAGGTAGGTAAAGCAAGAGTTGAAATAGCCTATAGCCAGAGTTGGGGGTGGGAAGGTGGGTCAGTGGGGCAGAGGTGAGTTCCACAACCTTCCTAAAGTGGGGATCTCTATCTGAGCAGGGAAAGATCATCAGCCAGCACAGTCCTCTCCTTCCTGTCATCAGGAAGCATTGTGTGTCTCACACTTTCTCCCAGTGGAGAGGGAATAGGCTGGCACCATCTGAGCTGAGGGCCCATCAGGAGGCTGCACCAGGGGCCTCTGCTCAGGAAGAGGTGCTTCTCAGAGTCCCTTTGCCAGCAGCTGGAAGGCTGAGCAGATGAGGGCTGGAGCTCTTCCTCAGCCCCTCGATCCTCTAAGGAGAGCCCTGGCTCCAGGCTCTGCCCCCTCCCAGCTGGGCAACCCTGGGCATGTGATTTCACCTCTCTGAGCCTCACTAGCCTCATCTGTGAAATAGGGATACCATTGGGGATAATGGCAGAACCCATCTCAGAGATCCTGTGATGGTCCAGTGAGGTAGAATATAGGAAGAGCTCAGCATGTGTTAGGCGCATGGGAGACCCCAGTTCTTGGCAGCCATCGATACCATTAGTTGGGCTGGAGTATGAGCAATTCTCAGTTTGCTCAGTTCATCCTGAAAGCCTTCTTCAATGAATTAGAACTCGAAGTTCAGTGAGTAAATCGTAAGAATACAGATGAGAACGTAGATGAGTTGAAAGGTGAAAGGGAGAAGAAAAGAAAATAGGGCATGTGGCATAGGCAGTTGTTGTTTTTTTTTAAATTGTGGTAACATATCCATTTACTTTTTACTCTGAAACTCACTTCAAGGTCCTGGCCCCCTCCTCAGACCGGGGCTTCAGGAAGTTCTGGCTGACGCCCTCCCTGCAGGGCCTAGAACAGGGCTCTGCACATGGAAGGCCCCACCCTGGACAGCAGAGATGGCTTGTTATTTGGGAAAAGGAGAAAGAAAGGAAAGAGGGGAGAGGGGAGGGGAGAGATCAGTGAGGTGGGACCTGGAACAGAGAAGGCCAGGGCTGAACATTTCTAACCCGCCCCTCACCCTTTCACACAGAAGGAGCCCCAGGTGCAGAAAGCTGGCACTTGGGTAGAGGGAGGAGATGCCCAGGGAGAGGCGGGAACAGAGAAAGTTGGGGAATTCTAACTGGGTATTGGGCCAGCCTAAGCTTGGAGCAATTTCCAGAAAATATGAAATCATTCTGGAGAAGAGGCAACAATATCCTCTCCAAGTAGCTCCCAAGGGGAAAAGATGTGTGTGAGGCGGGGGCGGGGGTGGGAGGGGGTACGGAAAGGAGGTCCACATCAGAAGCTTTCCTGGCAGTGTTGTTGAGGCAGGTGCTGCCCCACAGACATGAAAAAAAAATTCCAGAATTTTAGGATCATGGAACAACAGAATTTCTCTTTAGATTCTAAGAACCAAGAATCTCTGAGGTCTCCAGGGCAAGCCCTTCCCAGAGCATAAATCCCCTCTGCGTGTGTCGCTGGTAGGGGTCCCCCAGCCCCTGCTTGCCCCCTCTCCCACCCTTTCCCCCTAGGGATGGAGAGTGGTCTGCGTCCTGGGCAGGTCTTTCCTCTGCCTCGGAGCAAAGCCTTCCTCAGGCTGAGCTGGGTCCTGCTCCTGGGATGCACCCCACCTTCACTGGCACAGAGGGCTTGTCCACACTGGAGATGCCATCACCACAAGTGGCTTTGTCTTGACTCAGCCTCCATCCCTCCCCAGGCCTGAGCACCCTGCTAGTGAAGTTCCTGCCCCTTCTAGTACTGTGTGAAACCTTCACTAGAGAAAGAAGTCCCACTGCTCATAACAGCCCAGCAAGGAGGCGAGGAGATGGGGCTACAGGCAGGTGAGATTTGAGGTACCCCATTGACCCGGCCTTGTCTGGGCCACCCTCTGCCATGCTTTTGCTCACATGCTTTCTCATACTCACCCGGGCTGGTGGATAATGCCCGCAATCTGGTGAGTAGGGCAGCCCATGAAGAAGAGGGGCAGGCTGAGAAGTAGGCAGAACAGCATCCCCAGCAGGCAAAGAGCGCTGCAGCGCATGGGGCACAGGTGGAGGCGCTTGACCAGGACACCCCCCAGGATGATGCCAGCAATGGCCGATGGTGCAGAGAAGCAGCCAATGAGCATGTTGGCGTAAGACGCTGTGATGGAAAACTGGCGCTCCAGGAACTTGGGCAGGAAGGTGGCCATGCCCGCTGCCATAGACGACATGCACACCTGGGACAGGACCACCAGCAGGAAGATGGGGTGACGCAGGGTCCGCAGCAGCACCCTGGGGAAGACTGTTGGGGTGAGTAGGGGAGAAGGTTAGAGTGGGCAGCCAGCCATGCCATTCATTTCTGTCCCGTCCTGCCCTGTTCAATTTAAACTATTCCATTCCTTTTCAGTCTTTCTGTCCCAATTCATTCCATTTAGTTCTGCTGCATTCAATTCTATCCCATCACATTTGACTCCTTTCCATTTAAATCGATTTCATTGTTGAAATTCTGTTTTATTCCATTCCATTGAGTTAGAATGCATTTTGCTCTATTGTGTTTCTTTCCATTCAATTCTATTCAAAATTCTATGCCGTATAGTTCTATTCCATACCATTTTATTTGATTCTATTTCATTCGTGCCTGCCCATCTGATTTCCTTTTTTCTGTTCCACGCATTCATCCCTTTTATTTTTCACGCAGCCCTTTCCATCTTGTCCTGCTTTAGCTCCAAGCCAACCCGCACCTTTGCCTTCCCTTCTGCGTCCCCAGCATCCTCTCCCCTGCTCTCTAAATTCCTAGTTCAAGTTTCTCCGTAGGACTTTACCTAACATACTACACATTTTACTCATTTAGCCATTTTTTTTTTTCTGTCACCCCACCAGAATGTAAGCTTCGTGTAAAGCAGGGATTTTTGTCGGCTGTGCTAATTGCTGAATCTCCAGAGCCTGGGGCATAGTAAGCACTCGATAAATATATATGGAATGAATGGACATACAGACTAATGTGATCAGACATTAAAATGTTGGCGCAGAATCTAAGATCTCCAGAGAAGGTGAAACCTGGGCAGGCTGGGCGCTGGGCGGCTTCCTGGAAGTAGGACAGAGGTGGGACCTGAAGAATGGAAGGATCTAGAGAGGTAGAGTAGGAAGGAAAGGGAATTCCTAGTAAGGGCACAGCAGGGGCAAACAAGTGGGGACAGGGACAGAAGTGACCACCTCCCCACTCTCCTGCTGGCTCCTAAACCAGAGCCTGGTACAGGTTTCCCTTCATCACAAGTTTGCTGAGCTGAAGGGCACGTAACACTGGGTAAGTTCCAAGCTCTGGGCTTCAAGGCCTTCATCGCCAGGGGCAGCCAAGGTGACAGCCAAGAACATTTCTGTTCTGACATGGTGTGACTCTCTCTCCGCTAACACCGAAAGAAGAAGAGATGTGTTTCTGCCTGCAAGAGGTGAGACAGAAATTAGACATAAGGTATGTGAGAGAGGAAGAAAGGCCTTTCTAAAAAGATGTGTCAGGAGCAAACCACTTTCCAGGCTGGGAAGGTCAGGAGAGATGGCCATGGGCTTCTTTGGGCTGAGTGAGGGGTCCCTTCTGTGCCCATAGCAGCAGGACCAGGGCCTCTATCATGGGAGCTTTCTGTTTGTCCTCTGAGCATAGCCAGAGTCAAGCCAGGTGATTCCCTAGCCCCTGGATCAGGCATGGAGCTGTTTTCTTGAAAGCCAGAAAATAAAGACAAATAGTCCAGGCAGGGTAGATGGGAGCTGGGGCTGTGGAATTCCCCCTTCTTCATGTCCTAGGCCTGCTTCCAGTCCTTAGTCCCTTGCCACACATGCAGTGCATTCAGCTAGGATTTGAAGCAGGGAGGTGTGACACCATGCCTTCACTCCAGGTAGAGCTACTCTAGCCTCCCTCCCTCCATGAGCTGCCCTGGCCAGGATTGGCCTTAGCTTGACCCAAGCAGTAAAGGTGCCCTCATTGTACAGGGGAGACTCAGGGAGGGGCAGGCACTCACCCAAGTTCATCCAGAGAAGCCAAGGCAAGGCCAGGAGTTGCTGGGGGTTTCCTGACTTCTAGTGTAAGGGCCATTCCCCCTTCTATCACTCTACTCCGCATTCTTGGGCCTCGGCTGCCTGACTCCAGAGGGCTCCATCCATTAATTGTTTCCATCCCGTTTTCCTGTGCTAATCACTACAGTGTAATCTGTACCCATCCTCTATCTCTAAGTATCTGCAGCCTGTCCCTAGAACAGGTAGAAAATTCCTGGAGGGCAGGTCTATGCCTTCCACTTAGATAGGGATACCCGAAGGGAAACTCCAGGGTCCATCACTAGCTCAGAAGCGTGTCTCCTCCATGAGACAGGGTCTTCCCTTAGTTTAGCACAATGTCTCCCTCATCAGACAAACCAGGACCTCTCTCAGCTCAGAGACTATGTCTCTTATCAGACAGGGGCCTGCTGCAGCTCAGAGGCCAGGTACCCTCCCTTAGATGGGGCTGGTCACCCCTCAATTTAAAGACTGTATTACTTCCACTTATCGGGGACCTTCTTTAACTCAAGGAGAATGTCTTCTCCGTCAGACAGTGGTCCCCTCCAGCACAGAGGCCAGGTCCTCCATTAGACAAGGCATTTTCTCCCTCCATTCAGAGATTTCGTGTCCTCCATTAGACAAGGACCAACACCCCACCCCTAACACAGACTGTGTCTCTCCCCTCAGCCATGGCCTCTCCCAGCTCAGGATCTATGTCTCCACTATCAGGCAAGAGCCTTCCTTAGCTCAGGGGCTCTCTTCCCCCAAGAGATTAGGGCTCCTCCAGCTGAAGGACTGTAATTCCTCCTTCCTCTGCTTCTCTCATGGTCTCAGGTGGTCAAGGCCAAACCTCAGGGTCAGAGTGGTCCCTCTGGAGCTCAGCAGAAAGCCCAGCAGCCAAGTGGGCTGACTGGCCACAGGATTTGTGGCCAGCTCGGCCTCGGTTTCCTCTAAGCTCATGTAGAAGTCGAAACTACCAGAGACAATCTGGCCCAGGACACCGGCTCCAGGATTTAATTTCAGCGACTGGCTCCAGCTTTCCTCTGGGTAGGAGCCAAAGCAATGATTAATAAGCTCTTCCATGGAGCAGTGTGCCAGGGCTGTCCAGCAGCTAGGGGTGACCTGAGGTTAAAGAGTTCAAGCCTGTGACTCTAGGCCCAGCCACGTAGAGTCCAGGCCCCCCTTCCCTGGGGAACTAGGGGCTAGATTACTGGTATCCCAACATACTGTCTTAGGAAACGCTTCCCCCAAATTGGGCCTAATTAACTTTCAGTTGCAAAAGTTCTCAGTGGGAGCATGAAACAAACCCTGCGGTCATCACAGGCAGCTTAATTTCTGTCTCGGGGCATGGTCAGAATAATAACAACAGTAGTGATAACTGAAATAATAATTGTCCCTTATATAAGTACAGTTTTGTTTTGTTATAAGTACAGTTTTGTTTTATTTTCTAATAATATACCAAAGGCTTTCCATTCATCATCCCATTTGATTTTCCCAGTAGTCCTTGAGAGAGGCAGAGCAAGGTCTGTA